TYCCYYMCCSYACCRTRCCGWACCAGAACRGAMCGGMCCGSYYCGCTTYGCTTKGCTTTGCTTCAGTACTTGAAGACCTGGTCGGCTTCAAAGCCCGCCTCGGAGAGGACCCCYAGCAGCGGGCCCTGGACCTTGGGCCCCTTGGAGCCGTCGGGCTTGGGCGGCCCCCGTCCCACGGGCCCGGCCCAGTGGGCCACAAAGCCGTCCCTGCCGCAGACCAGGACCATCGTGTCTGCCTTTCCCGACGGGTCCGGGAGGGAAGMMRCARCCATCGCCACGTCCCCCCTCCCGGAGACGACCCTCGCCGGGCTCCCCGGGGGYGCCGAGCGAGGATCGGCCCCCGGTCCCTCCCTGGTGAAGGAGTGCGTCACGAAGAAGTGGTAGGGGTGGTCCTTCTGCAGGGCCTCGATCTCCTCCCTCCCCAGGACGTCCGAGGGGGTGTGGTTGACAAAGAGGAGGTGGACCCTTGGCCGGTCTTCCTCGGGCAGGTCCTTGTCCTCCAGGAGGATCCGGGCGATCTGCAGGAGTGGGGCGATCCCCGTCCCGCCGGCCACCAGCCCCACGTGTTTCCAGCCCCGGCCGAGGACCGCCGGGCTCCCGTGCATGGAGCGTTCCTTCTTGAGGGAGGCGGCGATCGAGTCCCCCACGGYCATGTCGCAGAGGTAGGCGCCGACGCCGCCGCCGCTYCGGTAGGGATAGGCCTTGACGACCAGGTCGAAAAAGCCCTTTGCCGAGGGGTGGGAGACGGGGCTGTAGGACTTGGAGACGGTCTTGGAAGCGGTTTGCTCGTCCACAAAGTCGACCTTGACGCAGGTCGGCAGGGCCGGGTCGGTCCCCAGGATGGCCCGGCCCTCCGGGAGGCCGTAGCGCAGCAGGAAGGAATCGTGGGAGAGCCTGGTTTTCTGMAGGAGCTTGTAGGGTTGCTTGGCCATGGGCGAAACCGCCCTGGCCACGGTGGAGGCGGCASCGGGGGTCATGTTGTTGTGGTTGTTGTTGTCGTTGTSGTKGTKGYKGYTGCTGCTGCTGCTGCTGTTTTTGTTGTGTTGGTTGTTGTGTGCGCAAGGGTTGTCAAAGCCGAACCAGACAGAGAGGACCAGGACCGCCGYAAARAAGAGGCCGTTGGAGAGGTTGGGGAGGATCGTTCTCCGGAGCAGTGTGGCCGAGGGACGCTTGCTCGTTCGTCGATGGGTCGATGGTGTTTTCGCAGTGTCGTCTTTCCGGATCGCTCTCATCGAAGAAGGACCGAAGGATGCTTCGGGTGATCGTCGGTGGTGGTGGTGGTGGTGTTTGTGTGTGTGTGTGTGTGTGTGTGTGTGTGTGTGTGTGTGTGTGTGTTGCCTCGCGCTGGATCGATCAACAAACGGTGCGTTGTGTGTTGTATGGATTGTTCGCAATGCCGCCGAATCGGGTTTCGTCGAAAGTAGCAACGACTGCTGCTCTTGCTCTTGCTGCTGCTGCTGCTGTTTCTCCTCCTTTTCCCGGTTGCGAGTACCCTGCGTAGTGTTGGTGGATCACCAATCGATGGAATGGGTCCAGAAGATCGGAATTCGACTCTACCGCCGAGTCAGTCGTGTCGTATCGCTGGACGGCACGGGAAAATGCATCGAATCCATCGATCGTCGGACCGTGGAAGAACGGAATCAATCCATTCGTCGAATATCGTACGGTGCGTTGTACGTTGTAAATTGTACGATGTACGATGTACGATGTACGAAACTCCACTGGATCATCGATCGATCGATCCGATTCGATTCGATCCGCCAGACCGACCATTCATCGGTCCCTTGTTGTTCTTACGTGCGTTGCGTGCCTCCCATCCCATCGGCCCGGTACGCCGCGCGCGGTCTATACATTCCACGTGGCACATTTTTGTTCGATCGTCCCGTGCTCGAACCGAAGGATAGCTTTGGTCGTCACGACCGGTGGCTTAAGTCTCGGTTGCTGGKTTAGTTCTAAAAACAGCAAGTTCCATRGTACAGTACYKTRATGTACAGSGATTYACSCTATTGTGCCGTGCGATGCATCCCACCGSGGCTTAGGAAAYTCGTTCGTAGTGTGGAGAACAAAATCCTTCCGAGAACGTGCGATGGATGGCGCCCGGCTTCTGTTCTACAGTATGAGCAGTACGGTAGGCTACGCACGGCAGCGAAGTTTCTTCGGATCGAAGCGCCGTGCAGCATTTCGCGTCGAACGAATCAATCGTTCCATCGTACCGTACGGAGCGCAGGGGAGGCAAGTGCGGGGCAAGAACGATTCCCAAACGGCACCGTGCGTTGCGTTAGCTTTGGCCTCGTACGAAATTAGTGTAGTCAGTACGTACTGTATTTTCTTTCTGTAGTATGGTACAGGGACATACTCGTACCCCCGTACGATCAGTACTGTAGCGTACGCACCGTAAAGACGGTACTCGTAGTACAGTATTGCTCAAGTGCAACACATCGAAGAACCTCCGTCTGTCGAAGGCCCATTTCGTCCCTCGAACCCAAGTGGAACGCCAMCCGGCCGCGTTGTGCTCGTACTACAGTACGTAGGGTACTGCAGTCCTCTCGAAGCACCAAAAAACCTTTCACCGATCACGAACAACGGCCGAAATTTAGCCGAAACCAAAACCACCAAGCCCAACAAAGGCGCCACAACTCGCTCGA